TATTTTCTTGTGTTTGCCTCCAACAAAGGGAAACCGGTTTGATATTTGCCTGATCTTTTAAAAATAATGAAACTGTAAAATATTGAAATTTCATCTTGTTAGAGGGTAGCGGTCAATAAATGTATGTCGGATGTCTCTGAAGAAAGACTCAAATGATGCTGTGCTACTTTTCAATTGTTTTTTGGGTAATTTTAAATGTCTAAATTATGATAATGGATTAATATTAGTTCATCATCACTTTCCTAGCAACATCTCAAAGAGTTCTACAAGAAGCAACAACAACAGATTCAGCTGCTTCAGCAGCAATCCAGCAAGAAAATCAAAGAGGTGAGTGCTAGTTTGTGTCCGGATGGTGTATAAAAATATTTCTCATGGTAAAACTGAATGTGTGGGTTGAAACTAGTGAAGATCTGACGGAATTATCTAGTGAGGAAATAATCTATTTATATCCGTTGTCCCTTGGTTGTGTGATTTGAGAACAAGGTTTTGTTGCAGAGATGTGGATTCAGGTTTTTGTTTTTGAATGCCAGATGTAAGAGACAATAGAATCCATCACATATCAATACTGTACTGTTTGTAGACCCGATTAACACACTGATATAAACTCCTGTTTTAGGTACATGGTGATACAACCTAGTCTGTAATAACATTTTAGAGATCTTAATTCAAGCATTGAACAGCTACAAGGGCCAGATCGTAAATGCACTGACTGATCTCACTGTAAAAAAAAAGAGAGTTTGAGCAGTGCCTCATTTGAAATGTCTTCTTTTCTCTGTCCATCCTGCAGCTTCCTGCACAGCAGCTCGTGTTCCAGCAGCTCCTCCAACTCCAGCAGCAGCAACAGCAGCTCCTCCGGGCTCAGAGACCGGCGCTGGCTTCTCCTGCCCTCTCTCCAGGTCTTTACACTTAACACCAACGTTTTACATGTTGTCTGTGTTTTTTTTTAAAATCTCTCTCAGCATCTGTTCACAGCAACAGGGATGTCAGCTGTTTTATTTCTGGTGTGTGATGGGGTTCCATTTTTGGTGTGATTTCTGTGTTTTTCAGGTCGTAATTAGGACCGTGTTTGCAAATTTGCACTTTAGCTGACAGTAGGGTTACTGTTTTGTTACATCAGTCATCAGGTACAGATGTAGGCAGATTACTGCCGCGTTGAGATGATTATAAAAGTAAAACCTAAAAATAGAAAATTCCAGTCACAGTATAAAATTGTGGTTGTAGTAATTGTTCCTGGATTACACTGAAGAGGTAACATGAGGTCATGAAAATAAGCTGCTCTGGTCATGTGCTCCCCCAGGCTTTGACGTGGGAATAATTAGAAAAAAAAAAAAAAAAGACAATATGAGAACGGCAACACTGTAAACAAAATGCAATAGTTCTGGAAAAATGTGCCGCAGCTTTCCCTCATTTATTAATCAGCACCTTTCTGTTGAGTCCTTAATCAACAAATCAAACAAAAAGTAACATGATACTATCTGCTTTCCTTCATCTTTCAGCTTGTCTCAGCCCTGCAGAGATGCAGCAGATCTGGAAAGAACTCACATTCGGCATAGCTGAAGATAAAACCACAATGAAGGGCAACCAGGACTCTTCTGCTCACAAGATGTCACCAAAAGTCACAGGGAGACCGACCAGTGACCAGCAGTCTGCGTCTCCTCGCAGGCCACAGTGGTGAGAGGAATCTGTCGGCGCTGTAAACAGATCGCAGAGCTTAAATGATTCTGCCTTTTTGTAAACATCAAAGACTTGTCATCTGTAGACATTTTCGTTCTGTGAAGGTGCAGGCGGGGACGTGTTTGCTTTTGAGACTTCACTTCTAATTCCCCTTGGGACGATATATTTTGTGTTGTTTGTTTGCTTTGTGTTTCGCCACCTGAAGTGGTTCAGCAAAGAAAAAGTTTACATGACTACAGTACATGTCCCAAATCAAAAGTGAATAGTTTTCCGTTTATTTTTCAGTGCTCCCTTCCACCTCTCTCTGTCATTTCATAAAGAAAACAAAACACTCTCATATCTGTTTCATTGCTGTTTTGTTGTGTGGCTGCTGTGGTTTGTAATCATGACAGTGCTCTTTTTTCTCTCTCTCTTTTTCTTCTCGTTCAGCACCGTTAAAGGTGATCGCGCCGTCCTCTTCGGTCACGGTGTGTGTAACTGGCCCGGCTGCGAGGCAGTCTGTGAAAACTTCAGCCAATTCACCAAGTAGGTTCTAACTTCATCCTCAGGCAGCTCACTTTTGGAGTCTCTCTTGTGAGTCGAGTGACGTCTCGAGTTAAGCAGCTGTTTGTAATAAATGCACAAATCAGGATGATGTTAATGAGTCATCTGATGAATGCAAACATAATTTTTTTTAACTTGTTTGCTAAATTACAATTATTTTATTGTCCCATGCAAATAGCCAGAAAGCAAACACAAACAAATCATTGTGGGTAAAATTATAAAAAGATGGAAAATTGCATTCGTGCAGAGCAACAACACAAATCAGTCTTTAAAGCTTGTGTAGAGTTGCAACTTGGAAATGAGGTTATAAATTGTACTTACTGTGCAGATTGATTGTCAAAAATGGGGAAGTTCTGTAAAACAACTTCCTTAATTTTTTATATTTTAGAAAAGCTGCTTATCTCTGCGACTCAGATACTATATAATAATATCTAAGATAGGTAACTAGCCAAGGCTGTAGTCTGTGTACATTTAAAGCATTTGCAACAGATTCTAATGTTAAACACAGAACAAGACATCACAGAATCAACTCAAACCACTCTTACACTACAGTCATTTCACTTACTGTTGATACATACTTTCTAAATAATCTTCATTTTACTCAGAAATCATTAATCAAACATTTCTACACACATGAATATACGAAAGGTAAGTTGGAAAAATGTGAAAATAGTTTTTAAAAAACCTCCTGCACACACAAGTTTATAAACTTTTGGTTTGTTAGACCTTCGTGAGTTTTGAATCGCTGACTTCATTACAGCCCAAGTGGTTTGAGTAAAGTGTACGCAGATGTTTTGATGCACTGTTACACGTTTGTCTGCTTTGGCCCAGAGTCGTCGTCACTGGAATTCATCGTAGCCTCCATAAATCCAAACTGACGACACTCCAGCTGCTGTCTTTTGTAAAGAAGCAAGAAGCTGCAGAAACATTTTCAGAGATTCTTTATTTGATGGAGAGAATAAAGATTCTCAGTTTCAGAGTTTTTGTTTTAATTCCCCTGTGTTTGTTTCAGGCACATAGGCAGCGAACACACTCTGGATGACAGAAGTACAGCTCAGTGCCGAGTCCAGATGCAGGTGGTTCAGCAGCTTGAGCTTCAGGTAGGAACGAGGACGCTACAGTTTCTGGATTCAGTGACCCAAAAGTATTAACTGTGGACCAAAAAAAAGGGCGAGTTTGAAAATGACATCAAAAATCAAATAAGTGCTGGAACCCATTTGATTACAATCTTTGTTTTTTCCTCCTGCATATTTTTAAAATTTATTTATTTTATGTATGTTTTTGATGTTTTTAAATGATTAACTGAGAAAATACTATAGATTGTTGTATTTATATTAATTGTTATGAAAGTATTAAAATGTATTTTGTTGATATTTTAAGAAGATTCAACTTAATATCAGCCTAAAATGTACATGACAAACCTTTGCACTGGCTTATATTTGGGGCAGGTTTTGCTAATTAATTTTGCCATTTTGTTTTACACAGATTTTTTAGAATTGAAAAAAAAAAAAAACCCTCTGACATTTCAACAAAAACAAAATTAATCTGAAACATTGGATTCTTTTTCCACCCTCTCCGTACTAAGGGTAAATATTCATGTAATATTCTGCCTTTGACACAGCGGGAAATCTTACTTTGCAAAATGTGTCTGGTTCACAGCCGTCCGTGTCAACAATCTGCGCTCAGTGATTTTGACACCATCCGCTATGATTTTCTCTTCCTCTCTTTATCACCCCGAATAGCTCTGCAAAGAACGGGAGCGTCTGCAAGCAATGATGGCTCACCTGCACCTGCCATCTTTAGAGGCTCAGTCGCTCTCCGCACCAGCGCGGTCGCCACAGTCCGATGCGGCCGCTGACCCTCGCGGCCTGCAGGTACGAACTGTTCAGTAATAGCTGGTGCGAACAACAGACGCTGAATAAATGAGCCGTGAAGTTTACTGCGGTACAGATCTGGGCAGAAACCTCCAAATATGGGGAGAAGATAACAGAAAATAACATGTGCCTGGCTGCAGCCTCATCCTCTCCAGCACTGATCAAGACAGTGGCAGACTGTAGTTGACCTTCAGAGCTTTAACAGTTGAATGAGCTGCAAAAGCGTGTTGGCATTTTCCTAGAAACAAAAATACATGACTTAGAGACAAACCCACATGAGATGAAGGTCTGAAACATTTGAACCTGCAAACAGAAATTACAGCAGATTGAATGGTGTGCAGTTTTAGGATAAGTTTGGAAAAAGACTTTCACTTTCACTTTTCCTCTTTTCCTTCCTCCATCCTGTGACTCCCTGCATGATGTACGGAGCGCTTCCCTTCCCTTCGGTGCCCAGCTGCTGGCACCAGATGGCTGCCATTGTGTTTTCCAGACAGCAGACATGCTCCGACAATGTGGAAGCTAATCATTTGTTAATCTTGCAAATATTGCACCATAATCACAACACTCACCAAACAATTTCACCCTATAATTAACAATAATTGGCTTCCTACTTATTGTGATATTAGCGGAATCACCTCTGAAGAGGCGAATCCAATCGCTCTGTTACACTTTGTTAAAAATCTCCCGCTCTGTTTTGTTTCACTGTCAGTCTTTCCAGTCCTCTTGTTCCTTTGTTAACTTGGATCGTCCTCTTTTGTCGCTCTCAGCTCGGCTCAGTCACCGTCAACAACAACTTGCCCTCGCTTTGCCTGTCAGACTCGGCCCAGGCGTCGCCCCAACCTCTGGATCCCTCCAGCACTCCGTCGCAGGGCTGCGAAGAAGAGTCGCCTTCGCATACATCGTGTGGCGGGGCCATCAGACGTCGTCACCACCCTTTGGTCTACTCTTTGTCCTCAGGTAAAGTTAACAATGGGGTCACTTTTTCATGTGTCAATCAATTTCTAGGTTTCCTGTTTCACTTATTCTGTTTTGTCTCGTTTCAGAAAATGAATTTGAGCTTTACAAGAACACCGATATCAGACCACCTTTCACCTATGCAACACTGATTCGACAGGTACGAACAATATAAACAATAAACACATAACCATAACTGCTCTTTTTTTTTTTTTTTTACTTTAATGATGCAAACAAACGTAATATGTTATTTGCATTTAAGCATTCCGATTTTTCTTTATGTTTTGCTTGTGTTCTTTACTTTGAATTTGCTTGTCCATAAAGGAAACCACAAACAGCCTTTTTATGGTTTCCATTGCCGCCGGAGCTCATTCATTTGAATGAAGCTGCTAAATTCATTGTGTAAGAGAAAATAAATTGTGAACAAATTTTGCTAGTCGGTTAATTTGCATCAACTTTATGGTCAAAAAGCCCTCTCCTTCCAGGTTTTGTTTATTAAGGCTGTTGCTGTTTTTCCTAGCTGTCTGTAATATCTTTTGGTTTGAGTACTGATCAGATTTTTTTTTAAAAAAGGGGGGACTTAAAAATGTAAACATAGGCTTTTGATGAGCTTTTTTCGCATTTTTTTTAAACGTCATGTAGAACGAACAAATAAAAGATCAGTAAAATACAATAATTAGCAGATGATTTAAAAAAAACAAATAAAAACAAAACATAATCAAATCTGTCCATATACACAGTAAGTCATATTGTTACTGGAAATAATCCTCTAACAAGCATTATATGAGCCAAAAAATTAATTCATCAAGGGTAAAATAAAAAGCCTGCATCTGAGTTGTGAGTGTGCAGCTTTACCCTCCTTCATTGGATTAGACGTGAAACAGTCAGGGCTTTAATTTGATCCTGTAATGCGCTACAGTTATTCGTTTCCTCTCCATCTACAGGCTATAATGGAAGCATCAGACATGCAGCTAACGCTCAACGAGATATACAACTGGTTCACGAGGACGTTCGCTTATTTCAGACGCAACGCTGCCACGTGGAAGGTATCGCACCCGCAGATAATTAACTCTGTGATCCCACTGTGTGTCAAACCTGATTTATGCAGCACGGATCCAGTAATGTCTCCCTCACTCTGATTTCCTCTGGATCAGAACGCAGTTCGCCACAACTTGAGCCTGCACAAGTGTTTTGTGCGTGTGGAGAATGTGAAAGGCGCAGTGTGGACGGTTGATGAGGTGGAATATCAGAGGAGGAGATCCCAGAAGATCACAGGGTACAGTAGTGTATGAGTGTGTTTTATGATAATGATGTAGTGACATTTAGGATGTTTTGAATACTTTCACAACAATAAATGATACCACTAAGTTCAGAAGTTTCTGTGTTTTAATATGGATCTCGAGGAAAACTAGCAAATACAATTTATTTTAAATCATTTTTAGACCTTGACATGAATTTACAAAGATCTCAGAGGACCAAAGGTGTGTGACAGTGTCTTTGTAAACAGCTCACGGAGTAGAAAACACTGGAACCCATTGTTTGATTTGATCTGTCAGTACTGCAAGCAGATGAAGCAAGGTCATGTTGTAAATGTGTATATACACCACAGTCCCTGTGTCCAGTGTAGGCCAAAGCAGAGTCTATGTTTTGTATACTGTGTTGCACACATTTATTTATGGATTATAGGTTCCAATAAATAGATAAGTATGACTGGAAAAATGATGACAACACTTGCAAATTCTAATGAATTATTTGTCTGCATAACTGACCTTGCCTGAAGCTGTTATTGTTTACCGTGCAGTGGTTTTCAGAATATACAGAATGTATTGATTTGCCGGCCATGAATTAGACATTGATTGTGTCCATTTTGAAATTCTGTTGTTCTGCAGGAGTCCGTCGCTGATGAAGAACGTTTCCTCCAATCTGGCTTTCGGAACCGTTCTGAATGCAAGTTTACAGGTAAGAAAGACGACGTGTTTCAGTGTCCCACTACGATCTGATATCACTGGCGTCCTGGTGAAACCTGGTTGAGGTGTGTTCACTGTATAATCGTGTATCTTCTTCATAGACCGCACTGGCAGAGGCGTCACTGCCCGGAATCAAGGACACTGTGAACAGCTCGAGGAATCAAATACAGGACAACAAAGTGGCAGACAGGCACAGAAACCAAAACTTCTCTCCACAAGTTCAGCAGTGAGTCACATTTGTTGTAAACTCCAATAATCAGTGAACTGATGTGTTCCCAAAACTGATTGCTTTTCTTCTTTTTGTAGAACACTTTTCCTTAAAGATGAAGAGCTGAATGTGAATGAGCAAGACAGTCTTTTGCAGACAGTTAAACCAGTGAGTCTGCAGCACGGTGGGACCGAAAATGATGATGAGCACTTGTTTGACCTTGAATGACCCTCAGTCAACACAGTGATAAATCATAAAACAGTAAGGCAGGCCTTCATTGAGCATCTAGGGCTGTAGGCCGTACAGTTTACAGTAATCCTGTGACTTAATGTACTCGTCTTGTGTGGCATCAGGCAGCCTGGAATTCTCACCCAAATAAGAGTATTGGATCAAATAACATATCCATCAGAAAGTGTCTGTCAGTGTCTAAATATTTAAAGTAGTCCACCTTGTCTCTTGTATTTCAACCTGCCAGCAGAAGGAAGTGGAATCGAGGGCCATCTGTGGTTTCTGTGCAGGCCGACTATTTTATGGATCAAGTGGAGGGCTTTTTAAAAGATATTCAAATGTATCGACAAAATGACAGTAAAAGACGAGCTTTAAATGTATTTATAAGTGTTACAATTCAGTCACATTTAACCCTCTCTAGAACCTTTTGTTTTGCCTACTAAATATTATAATCTTTTATTTTCATGAGAGACCTACCAAAACTATGTAGATCAGACAAGCCTGCATACAAAGGCAAGTGATACACATATAAGAGTGTAAGCAGTATGATTTATGTTTTTTATTTTTACCATGAACTAGTCTTTCTTGTGTTATAAATACACATCGAAGGCCAAAGTGAATGATTAAAAGAATTATTTAATACAACATAGAAACTAATGTGATGTTTGATGATGCTCCGTTTATTTGTTGTAATTGTCTACATGTAATAGAATAAAGCATAGAGAGGCTAAATCCCACCGTAAGGTGTAGACGTGTCACTGAAATGGTTAAAAATGTACATTTTGTGCTGTTTCTCCTTCTTGTTTTCTCTGTACAAAACATTGTATTGCTAGGTATGTTAAAATTCAGTTTGCTAAAGTGGATTTTTTTTTTAAAGCAACTTCAGTATGCCTTATGATTTTATTTTGTTTTTACTAGTGTGAATAAATTCCTGTTTTGTGTTTCTACTGAAATAAAGATTCCTGTTTTGCTGAGGTGTGACTATGAGAATAGATGCTGAGCAACAATCTGTATAAAGATGTGTCTGTCTGTATGTGTGTGTCATTATCACTGTGCAATAAATACTTAAACCTGTTTAATGTTGCATTTATTAATATGTTGTGCACTGGTAGGTTATTTATCAGTACAGACACACACTTGATTTTCCCAGTGAGGCTGTATGTTTGGTATTTTGATGATTTTTACAAAAGGAATAAATCACATTTCTGAGATTAATGTTTCATGGTAATTTTGTTTAGTCCGGGTCAATATAGCAAACATACTGCATCAGAACATTTTTTGTCTTTATGTTTCTTACTGATAGAAGCCCTTTGATTGTTCAGATAATTTTATTTAGCCCTCTGTGGCACACAAATAAAATTGCAACGTCCATTTTAAAATGCCAAGTAGCACCTTTTACCAGCTGAATGGAGACAAACCCTACATATCCCAACATCCAGACTCTGATCTAAATCACTGATATTGGAAAACACTAAAAGTTCAAGACATGACTTGCTCCTACTGACCCTCTGCCTCACTCCTTTGAACTAATTTCAACAATTATTCTATAAGTATTTGACCTGTACTGTTTTTTCCTTTATCCTAAAGATGTTTAGTGAAAGAAAACTTTAACAATTAAAAACAAAAATAGTATATCAAATTCTGCTTTTCGAATCTTCTACATTTTTAGTTGTTGCTGTTGTGCTACAAACGGTGACGATTCTACTTTATTATTGAGGTCATAGTGCCTGGTGTTGTTATTGTACGAGGCTGTAATACCGGGGAGCAAAACATTACCTAGAAATGCACTACTGTGGGGACCAGAATTACAATTTTACCTTGTAGAACTCAATTACTTTTTATTGTGACGTATCAGACAGCTACATGTCAATAAAACTAACTTTTAAGACACATTTTAATACAACTGAATCATCAATACCTAATAATCTACAGACTTAGCTAGACTTAAACAAGTAATATTTGTAAGTGCTGTTGTAATTTCTTTGCCACATTTCACAAAATCCTTCAAAGAACAACAACAATTTAAAAAAAAATACATATTTTCATAAACAGTGTAGAAAAATTCCTACATTGATGAAATCAGTGATTGGCTTTTAGAAGGTTAAATATGATTAAAATAATGGTAAGCTATAAACAGATCATTTGTAATCTATGGAGATCTTTTATAATATTGAATTATTAATGATTGAATTAATGCCCATGTTCATCTGTGCATCATCTCATGCTATCATACCCCAGAATAAGTCCTGGTCAGTGATCACACTGTTTTGATGAAACATTAACTTTTTTTTAAAACATAATTTTTGTTCATATTCACAGTTGTGGGAAAAAAAGGGGGTTGGTTTCTCCTTCTGCCTAATTCGTTCCATCTGTGTGTAAAATATTAAAATTATTATAAAAAGAATGAACAAACAGTCCCAGCAGCATCACGTTGTCTCATCAGTCGATACACAAGTGAAGCCGTGACTGCACACTTCACAACCAAACACGGAACAAAAGATTCTTCAGCTCCCATGTTTTGACTAATGTCAGTAATTGTCTTTGCTGATAACGTGTTCGCTTTAGGTTTGCTGTTGCCTCTCAGGGCTCCCTTTGATTCGCTGTCAGCCCATTAGATGACACTTTCTTCTGATTGCCTCTCCATGAAGCCTGCTCACTGACTGGAAGTTAGCGTGGCGCTCGACAACTTCAGCAGCTTCACTTATGTGTTGCTTTGATGTGCCGTATGCTCAGTGTGAGGCGGGCGAGTCAACATGTTTTTTCAATGTAGCACTTTTGACAGCACTTAGTCAACATCGTCTCCAAAGGGGCTGGCCTCGGTTCATCTGCTCATCGACATGTGATGGTGACGCTGTCGCTGGTTCATCAAGTTCTCATCTGTGTCAAGATAATATTTCCTCATACAAAGATTTAAATGTAGCTGATAGTAAATAATTGCTTATTATTAGTTTAATTACTTTGTTTTATTAGTGATTGATTTCAAGTTTAAGGCCCAGTGAGGCTGTGCTGCTCATTATACAACAGAACACACAACTGTTGGATGGATAAACACATATTTGTTGAAGCTGGTGTCCAAAAATATCACAGTTGACACCTATTTTACACCAGATCTATCATTTTAAATCATAGTTTTTAGGTACTGTTTTACGACATGTTAACAGGGGTCAAATTTAGCCCACATTAGCTCCTTGAGGTGCTGCAAGGTGACTTGACGGTTTTTAGCACCATCGCCTCGCAGCAAGAAGATCGCTGGGATCTTTGGATGCCTGGGATCTTTCTGCATGGAGTTTGCATGTCCTGTGCAACGTGGGTTCTCTCTGGGTTCTCCAGTTTCCTCCCACACAGTCCAAAAACATGTTGAGGTTAATTGGTGATTCTAAATTGTCTGTAGGTATGAATGTGAGTGTGCTTGGTTGTCTGTCTCTAAGTGTAGCCCTGTGATTAGACTGGTGACCTGTCCAGGGTGTCCCCTGCCTTCACCTTAAGTCAGCTGGGATAGACTCCAGCCCCACATGACCCTTGTGAGGACTGAGCGGTGTATAGATGAAGGATGGATGGCTCCTTGAGACTGTTCAGCCATGGACATTCAGTTTCCATCCACTGAAATGTACATAAATAAAGGACATTTGAAAGTATAGATTCATACACAGACTTTTTTTCCCCCATTTTGTACTGTGTATCTGCCTTCCTAAAACATCTTGTCATGCACTGATATATTATGGTGTCTATGGTGGGACGGACCTCATGTTTGTCATGATACAGAAATAAAAACTGACTGACAAACTATGATTTCCAAAGCATGACTACAGAGCAAATTAGTACTTCTTTGTATGTGCATATTTCCGATAGGACACAGCTTTGGTTGTATGAGTGTGTGTGTGTGTTTGTGTAAGAGGTCGAGAGAGTTTGCATACATCCAGTCTGCAGCTAACACACCCGTGCTGTATGTGTCTCCATTGTGTTAGGTGACTAAAAGCAGAACAGTGAAGGCCACCTAAAGTCACACAGGCAGGCCTTGGCCTGATCAGCAGGTTTGGCGCGGCCGCCCGGGGATGTGCTGGGGAAGGGGAGTGTTATTAAGTCACCGAACAACAAGCAAAACACACACACACAGCACAGCTCACGGTCTCCTGAGCGGTGACTCATGTCGGCATGTTGGGTGTTGTTGGAGGTTTCCTGACCCCTCGGAGCGGGCAGCAGCGGGGAGGATGAAGGAGGCGATCGGGTTGAAGAGAGCGTAAGAAAGATCGTGAGCAGTCATGGTTATCAGACATGTTACCAGGAGAACATTCATCTGTGGATGGGAGAGAGAAACAGGACAACCAGACAAAAGGCAAGTACTGAGGATCTGACCTAGAATAAGCTGTGAAGGAGCTGGTTCTTTTAACACACACTAACACACGTTGATTAATGAACAAAGAGCTAATGATTTGTGACACTTTAAATTGAAAGATTTAAATGTTTCTGTAAGAAATGCCATACTGGGACCTCTGAGACATAATCAAAGCATCACTGGAAACTCGAAGTTTCTACTTAAGCAATAGCAATTTCTTCAGTTCCTCCTCCTTTTAAACTTCTTTTATCAAACGAAGGCTAAAATGCATTTTTAAGGCAGCCTCCCAGTTGACTTTGATATAGCCAGGGAGGAGTCTCCATCCTATCTGTCCAACATCACAATATACCAGCAAAAAAACGAGACCTGACTGTTTACGTCTTCAATTGATCCTTTTCTTTCTTTTTTTGACACTGCCGTCATCTTGCAAAATTTATGGAGCTTCTGGACTAACATGACTTTCTTTTGATGTGCTTCAAGGTAGTGCGCCTTTAAAATCAGCCCAGGAAATCCTTTGTACGTCTGACCCTGTGAACAGAGGAAATACCATCCCTGCTGACCTCATCAGCAGTAAGTGGAAACAATACAGTGAACAAAATCAGATGTGCTTAGTCTTGATGAGGGGTTGTCTGAAAAAAAATAAAAACAAAATTGAGTTCTTGACAAGCAACACAACATTAAGTAGGACTCAAATGTTGCCGTCTTACTAAACACCATACTTTGTGTAACCAAACAAAGTGCAGTGTTTTTAGCTCGAAAACTGTATCAATCTGCATTTCAAATCTCCTCTTCTGTAATAATCATGCATGACAGTCCTTCCATTTCTGTATCTATCAGCCCAGCCTCTGCCTGCTGCAGCTCCACCAGCAGCCGAGGCCTCTCAGGAGGCAGCAGTGTTTAAGAAGCCTCGGGGTCACCCCCACAAGCCCGCCTGCCCGCGATGTGGCCTCGCAGTTCCAGACCACCGGATCTCTCCTCTCTCCCCGAGCCTGAGCCGACTGCAGGCCTCCAAACTGTCGGTGCACAGCGGCAGCAGCAGGAGGAGCGGCAGCAGTTCGACACGATCACACCGGACGGCTGCTACGCCTGCTGGTAGGTGCAACAATAATGCTCTCCTTCAGGCTGGACAGTATGATACAACATGGATGTGACTAACTCTCATATTAATTTTGATAACAATAATTAGTAAACCCATTTCCATGCGTTATTACTTGTAGATGGAGCTTTGGGCTGATTGACAGCTTAAATGTTGGTTTAGTGTCACCACTTGTTGTTGCCCCTTGATGCTTTCAGTGTAATTCAATAACAGGTCACATCCTTACCTATATTCTTGAGATTTCTTGAGGTGAAACCAGATTGAAATCCGACATTTCAACAGATTGTTCCACAGACATGCAGCCAGGTAGAGGCCAACACAGTCTGTGGAAACATAATTGATGTTTTGGCAATATTGTCCTAACTCAAAGGGACTAACCAATAAAGCAATGGAGCTGAATTGAGCTGAATTGAGCTGAATTTAACTGAAACATTAAAGCTGAACAATCCTTCCAATGAAAATTCAATTCTTTTCGTTATTGATTTTAATTTTTAATGTCTGTGTATTAAAATCACATATTTATAAGATCCCTTCCTGCTTTAAAATGACTTAGATGTAACTCTACACCACCGCTACTTTACATAGATCTATAAAGATTTGGCCTCTATCTCTGCTCACCCGTCCATGTTTCCTACAGCTTGAGCACACCAGCTCACCTCAAACACTGTAAAACTATTCTACGCTACACAACAGCAAGTTGTAAGTAGTCAGACGCACATATTCGAACTGGAAACTGATTAAATAATGATGCAGAAAGCCCCACCCTGCAGGTTGACGGGATTTGTTTCTTAAGTTTGTCACATATGAAACCCTGGAGTTTATATTTTTGAGACATGAATGTGAAAATGTTCCAAGATGGTTTTGGCTGCTTATTTCACTAATAATGTGTTTTCTAGCATTAAAAAAAAAGACTACATGGACATGAACAAGGTTAAAGAAAAAAAACTTGATTTCACATGAGAGAGAGTCTTTAACATTTTCATGTGGTGTTTTTTTATTTGCTAGAAGACACATCATGAGTGAAATAAACAGCATGGCTCAGAATTTGTACCTTTAAACTGCTCTATACCAATAGCAGTTTTAAAAAAAAAAAAAGGAAAGAAATCCATCCATCCATTATCTATACACCGCTTAATCCTCACTAGAATCATGGGGGGCGGGAGTCTATCTCAGCTGACTTAGGGTGAAGGCAGGGGACACCTTGGACAGGTCACCAGTCTATCACAGGGCTACACTTAGAGACAGACAACCAAGCACACTCACATTCACACCTACGGACAATTTAGAATCACCAATTAACCTCAACATGTTTTTGGACTTGTGGGAGGACGCCAGTGTAAAAATAACATACAGGATGCTGAGGTCACAAATAGAGCTGCACTACCCCAAGCTTTTAGAGTAGGAAGCATCCGGCACGTCTCCCTTACAGCGGATAAATATTTTCCTAACGTCTGTGGTTGTTTTGTCTATCCTCAGTTTATTTACATGAATTTTTCCATTTTTATTTCATGGAATCATTTATTAAAAACTGGGCTGTGAGTGAATTTCGGTCATTAATATTCAAAATATCAGTAATTTGATTAATTTAGCTTATCTTTAATGCTTATTGGAAAAATGTGCATCATAAACTGTTTGAAACGTGTGTATTCAAACGTGTTACCACCAAAAGACGATCAAACTTTCCGCACAAATTTAGCCCTTAAAAGTTTCCCATAAAGACTTTCAAACTGCTGCACTTGTTCTGGTTGTATCAAAGCGTGTGATGGGCCACTTCTTGTTTATCATTGTGTTCATGTTGTTATCTCTATGAAGTTATACATTAAATCAATACAGTAGCCACACATAATGCTCCTTTTTTCATCTGCACGCAGGCATTAGCATAAGTTATATGTGGGGGGTGTATAATTTGGGCGGCTAAGCAGGAAAATGCTGAACCCCACTCCCCAGGGAATTCTGCCATCTCCGTTTCATTTACTTCCTTGAGTAAACAGGATAAAACAGCTCGATTTGCATGAGCTCACTCGCTACCTGGTCCTCACGAGGATGAAAACGGCAGCTTCGTAACGACACAACGGTTGGGATCGCGGGAGAAGCACTGCAGCACTCCGGTGGGGTTAATGTATGCAATTTCATCTGCACCTAATTTGGGTAGCAGAGCAATTATCATGTGACAGCTTCCTCCTAGTTGTTGTTCATCACCAGCAGCCTCTTTGGCCTTTTTGATTTTCCCCCGAGGGCTGAACAAAGCTCTGTGATTAAGTAAACACAATCACACTTGATCACTGCAGCAGAATAGTTTCTCTTTTAAGTTCTACTTGGCGCCGCAAACAAACATGCCAGAGATTAATTTGGGGTTAATAGAGCCGTCGATCCCCGTGTTTGATGGCGTAACAGCCTCTTAGAACGCACAGCCTCGTTTGGTGACCTCAGATGTGATGTTTGTTGCTGCATCACTTTTTTCCTTTTATTTCCTCGCCAGACTCGTGCTTTCACCTGCTGCTGGCGTGTCTGTCGTGTCAGGGCTCCGTGCTGCTCCTGGGTCTGCTGGAGGCCTGCTCCTGCTGCCTCTACGCCCTCTGCTCGTCCTGCTGCGACGCCTGCGCTCGCTGCTGTTCAGCCGTCCAGGAGGCGCCGGTGGAGGAGCTCAACTGCCACGCGCACTGCCACTCGGTTTTGTTCGAGTCCTGCTGCGAGCCGACCGAGTGTCTCGAGTTTTGTCTGGAGTGCTGCGAGATCTGCCATCGCAGCTAGGACATACACAAGACTCTTGATGAACACACATATAGAATTACTTCAATGATGTTGCTTGTGGGCTGCAAGGTGGATCGGTGGTTAGCATTGTTGCCTCGCAGCAAGAAGGTCGCCAGTTCGCGTCTTGGTGAGGACACCTGGGATCTTTCTGTATGGAGTTTGCATGTTCTCCCTGTGCAGCGTGGGTTCTCTCCGGGTTCTCTGGCTTCCTCCCACAAAGTGCAAAAACATGTTGAGGTTAATTGGTGATTCTAAATTGTCCCAAGATGTCCCCTGCCTTCGCCCTAAGTCAGCTGGGATAGGCTCCAGCCCCCCGTGACCCTAGTGAGGATGAAGCGGTGTATAGATAATGGATGGATGGATGGATGTTGCTTGTGACCAAGAGTCGTCTTTTTGACCTTGTGGTCCTCAACAGTGTGACCAGAACTACTGACTGACGGGAGATTTGATGCTGATGCTTCACACTCATCTTAAGTGAATGGAATTATTCCTTATATGCCACATAAAGTATGTCAAGAATAGTTTAACTGGATGTGGCTAGTCTGTCTCTGTCCAATATTAAAGGGAACTTCCTCATTTGTACGCAGATGTTGGCGAACACTGCTGCATATGTAATAAAGGTTGTATAAAGTCCTTTGTGGCTCCAGAGCTATGCAAATTCCTGTCAACTGATAGAAATGAATGAAGCTTGGAGCTAAACTCTGACCAAACTTCTGGCAGGTGGGCCATGTAGGCTCCAGGATAAAGATGTGTTAACAAAGGCTGCGTTTCAGATACTTTTTCTTTTCATTTTCAGTCCATACTACATCTGCCCTCACATTGTTTGTTCAATCATGACACGTTTGAAACTCTGACCAAACTTGTGGCAGATTGAGTTGCACTGCAGTTCATGTAAGTTTCTTGACATGTGATGTAACTGCACTTAGGATTGTGACTGAGAACGGCCAGAAAAGCATGCTGCATACTTCAAAATCTGACTGCATGTAGGAGGTCATCTAAGTATTTTAACCATTCTACTTTTGACATACTGTGCATTGGGACATATTAAAGCCTTCTCCGGAATAGTATAGTAGTATATGGATATTGGAACTAAGCCATAGACTGTTTATGAAAGATGAAAGTCACCACATTGACGTCATCTACTGGTTTGTGGAGTAATGTTTCAGAGTTTAATGGCACCGTCTTGCTCTTCTAAATCAGTTTTAATAAGTGAGAGGAGGGATCTGATTCACAACTGGAGGAAACAACATGTACAACTTGTCAGTCACAGAGTAAAACATAGTCAGCTTTATTCTTTATTCTACTCTAAATGGAACCACAATTTACAAAATGAACATCAGGCTGTATTCTAAAAGTCTTGAAACTATAGCGATTTAAACCCTAAACTCACTTGGAAAGACTATAGCAAGGTAACAAATCAAATAAGAAGTAGTGTCATTTCCTCATAAACTTCCATTCAATCTGAACTCTTTCTGCAACTAGTGGAGGCGCCCCCTGCTGGATGGTAGCGGTATTACACGTTCAAAGCACTTTGGTGTTGGCTTCAGAAGTTATGTTGATCTTTTATATACAGTCTATGTGTTCGAAATAAAATTAAAAAAAAGAAAAAACACACTAATTCTGATACAGATTTGGCTCTTTTTTAATGTTTTAATTGTCCACATGTACAATGCCAAATCAGGTGCAATAATCTTTAAAAGACATAGTTCAGTATTTAAAAATTAAATTAACATTAAAAAAAATAAATAAATAAAAAATCCAACTTACTTTAACCGAGTACAAAAACTGAAGAGAGCTTTGGGTTTTGCTCCTACTGAGCACACACTGTCCAGTTTGTAATGCAAACCAACATTTCAAAGGCAATTCTGTACTGAAACACACAATTCATCCATTTAGTGAATATGCACCGTCCCTGCTGATTGCCTCACAACCTCACAGGGAGTTCCACAGGATGGCAATCTACAGTATGTTTGACATGTCTGCTGAGGTATAATTTAACCTAATAAAACACAGTGCATTCAGTGGTGAGCTTTAGAGGTGTATTTTTATACTTTGGTCAGAGTGAGGCTAGCTGTTTCCCCCGAGGCAGAGCCAGACAGTTCTCACAGAATTAGCCAGGGTGGGACAGTTGTTCCGACTGGGATGGCACAGAAACAGATTTTGTCATTTTGTTTATTTTTTTTATGATTTTCCATGTGGCAAATCACTGTAAAGCAAACTAATTTTTTTGGTCACTCATTAATATTATAAACCTCTTATCCAGGCATGACTGCCATGGAGAAGTCAACCCGGAAGAGTTTTAATGCAACTCCAAGTTGATTTAAAAGAACAACAAACAAGTTGTTTTAGGTTACTGGTTGTGTGAGGTGGCCATCCTGGATTCCTTGCTTCCAGTTTTGGTTTCACATCCAGGTCCCTGCAACAAAGTAAAGACATGTATCTCCCAGAACTACTACTTTAGCTATAAATGCAACAACTACGCTGACAACAGAAAAGAATAGATGCATTATTTATCTCCTCTGTGATTTCTTGGAAAATAGATTCAAAAAGGTTTTGAAATATTAAAACAAATTTGTCAAGGTCATTTGTTCTCTTTATTAAATCCCTTTGAATAGCCACCATGCATAAAATGGAAACCTGTATGGGACACATTAATAATCTAGTGTTGTTGTTCTTGAGAATATTGATATTATGTTTTTTGATAAACAAGCAAAGACAGCAGAGAGCCTCGCTGTGGAGCGACGGTGCATTCAAGATTCAGGCTTTATTCCACTGAAATGCCTTTTGTCTGTACATGAAGTTGCATTTAATGATGGCGACCCAGCAGGACCCTGAATGAGAGGGGTCTCCCTCTTTACTCTCTTTATATGGGTTCTAATGTTATAAGATTGCAGGTTTGACTTCTCCCTTAACAGCTCTTTGCAGCTGAGGAACAGGGCGACGCCAAACTTGTCAGCTCTTCCTTGAATCCTTTTTCATATTTGTCATATGAAGCACTTAGAACATAAAAGGATGCTTATTCTCTCCAGATCTTCCAAGATCTGAGCAGGCTCCTTTAAAGTCGTAGCGCGAGATGACAGCAGAGAGGCAGAGTAAACAGCCAAAAATAAAACAAAGTGGCGATAAAGACAACGCTGTCAATCTGTCCGGGCGAGCCAAGAGCCTCATTTAAATCATGTTAGAGCAAGAAAATGGAATTTAAGCATCTCTTTTGCCCACAACTCATTTCTGGATTCTGCTGCTGACAAGAAGCAGCGGTGACGTCTAATTTAAGTGCGTGGCGAGTACACACCATCGAATAAACACTGTGGTTTGTTCCACTTGTCCCCCTCAATTTGTTGTAGCCTTTACCCACAGCTGATGTCTCCTGCCAGCAGCCACAAACAGCTGATCTTGTCACATTCCTACAAACGATGCAGCCACACGCAAATAAACAGATTGAGGGAGCTGGAATCACAAATACAATAAATCAAATGATCAAATAATGACACTCAGAAGAGGCTGCTTCTCATGTTATGGTGGTAAAAACAAAAACAGTAGAACTCTCGCTTTGTTGGACAGCAAGACATCATGTTACGCTTATTGGGCACTTTGGGTGTTTTTCTAACATGTTATTGACAACATAATTTGTCAATAAACTTGAATAATGCATAACAATAATGATCAATAATCAATGCCTTTTTAAAAACTTTTTGTTTTTTTTTAAAATAGAAAAATAATAATATGATAGAATATAAACAAGTAGAGGCATTGAAAATGAAAATCTAAATAATCTCATATTGTTATTATTTTTTATTTTATATTTGGAATAAATCACATGTTATGTTTTTTAATTTATTTCTTTTTTTATTTAAAATTCACTTTAACTGTATAATATCTCATCAATGCGCTCATGTACATGGCCGTGTAAATACTACTGAGGCCAGCTTTTCTTTTTCTTTTCTCTTTTTTGTGAATTTGTGGCAACATAGTGGAAGTTTATGTTCTACAGTTAAACACTTAGACATCATGAGCATCAGCTGATTTGGGTTATATTACCATAGTAGTTTAGTTTTTTTTTTTTTAATTATTGTTTTATTTTATTATTGTTATATATCTTTTTTAAACAATTAAAAATATATATATCTTTAAAGATATTTTTATTTTCTTTATATTTTAATTTTTTGTTCTCTCTGCTATTTGATCAGATGAAATAGCAAAGAGAACTAAAAAATGCACATCAAACACGAGCTTGGGTCTTAAGAGGTTAAACACTATTATTAACATATGAGTTGTCATTATTATTTTGATTTAATTTCAGCTACTCTCAACGTAAAATAAAGAGTAATTTAATATTAATTTTGTATTTATGTTATAAAATTAAATAATCATTTAAAAAAGCTAAATGTGTCTGCAATTTGAGAATCCTTCAATGTGATCTACCCGCTGAGAAATCTCCAGAATTACATGAATTATCAATTAAAAATTAAACAAGAAGTTTTCAAGACTATTTATGCTCTTTTTTTTTCTGATGGTGGTTCACTTGTTCTCTTGTTATTGACTTATATTGTTATTTAGTGTCACGCTTTCAACTGGGTGACAGAGTTTGAGAGACGCATTTGCACAGTCGTATCACTGTAGTGAGACTTATAAATAAAACGCTCGGCTCAGTTGACAACCTCATCACGCGTCGGAGGCTCCAGGTTTAAAACCGACACCTTGTTTTTCCTAACAGTTTGTTGGACTGGCAGTCTGAGATAACAAGGCTGGGCATCACAGATGGGAGGATGACCCAGCGAGGAACGGTTTGTTATAAACCCGAGTTGCTTTTCAAAAACAATGCTTTCAACACTTTTTATATATATAAAAAAAAAATTCAGAATCTGTCTATTTGTATTCTCGCCTGCCTCCAAAGCTCCATGACAATGGTTGTAACCTCCTCAATCAAAACAAGGTTTATGTGTAGTGTATGAAGTGGCGTCTATTGAAAAAAAAGGGGAAATAATAACACCTAATAGTCAGTCTGTCAGATGTGCCCATCCGCTGTAAAGGAAACAAAAATAAATGTAACCAGATTTGAATATCTAACATTTGAGGCTGACGCGGAGAGGACGGATCAAAGGGAAGAGAGACACACCAGAG